TGCTGTCACCATCTGCAGTGATCATGGAGCACAAGAAAGTAAAATATGTCACAGCCTCCATATCTTCCCCTTCTATTTCCCAGGAGGTGACGGGACCAGTGGCCATGATCTGAGTTTTTTGGATGTTGAGTTTCAGACCATTTTTTGCGCTCTCCTCTTTCACCCTTATTTAGAGGTTCTTTAATTCCACTTCACTTTCTGCCATCAGAGTGGTATCATCTGTATATCGGAGGCTGTTGATATTTCTTTTGGCAATCTTAATTCTGGCTTGGGATTCATCCAGTCCTGCCTTTCACATGATATAAGCAGGGACACAATATACAGCCTTGTTGTACTCCTTTCCCAATTTTGAACCAATAAGTTGTTCCATATCCAGTTCTGTTGCTTACTGTCCCAAATATAGATTTCTCAGGAGATAGATAAGTTAGACAGGCACTCCCATTTCTTTAAGATTTTGCCATAGTTTGTTGTGCTCCACACAGTCAAAGGCTTTTGCGTAGTCAATGAAGCAGAAGTAGATGTTTTTCTGGAACTCTCTGGCTTTCTCCATAATCCAGTGCATGTTAGCAATTTAGTCTCTAGTTCCTCTGCCCCTTCAAAATCCAGGTCATACTTCTGGGAGTTCTCGGTCCACATACTGCTGAAGCATACCTTGTAGGATTTTGAGCATAGCCTTGCTAGCATGTGAAATAAGTACAGTTTTATGGTAGTCGGGGCATTCTTTGGTACTGCCCTTCTTTGGGATTGGGATGTAGACTGATCTTTTCCAATCCTGCTGAGTTTTCCAAACTCGCTGGCATATTGAGTGTAGCACCTTAACAGCGTCATCTTTCAAGATTTTAAATAGTTCAACTGGAATGCCATCACCGTAACTGGCCTTATTGTTAGCAAGCTTTCTAAGGCTCACTTGACTTCACTCTCCAGGATATCTGGTTCAAGGTCAGCAACCGCACTATCTAGGTTGTCTGGGACATCCATATCTTTCTGGTATAATTCCTCTGTGTATTCTTGCCCCCTCTTCTTGATGTCTTCTGCTTCTGTAAGGTCCCTACAATTTTTGTCCTTTATCATGTGCAGCTTTACACAAAAGGTTCATTTAATATCTCCATTTTTTTGAACAGATCTCTGGTTTTTCCCTTTCTATTATTTTCCTCTATTTCGTTGCAGTGTTGGTTGCCCTCTTGCCTCTCCTTGCTATTCTTTGGAAGTCTGCATTCAATTTTCTGTAACTTTCCCTATCTCCCTTGCATTTTGTTTCCCTTCTCTTCTCTGCTATTTATAAGGACTTGTTGGACAGCCACTTTGCTTTCTTGCATTTCCTTTTCTTTGGGGTGGTTTTTGTTGCTGCCTCCTGTACAGTGTTACGAGCCTCCACCGATATTTCTCCAGGCACTCTGTCCACCAAATCTAGTTCCTTAAATCTGTTCTTCACTTCCATCCACTGTGTATTCATAAGGGATTTGGTTTAGATTATACCTGACTAGCCCAGTGGTTTTTCCTACTTTCTTCAATTTAATCTTGGGTTTTGCTATAAGAAGCTGATGATCAGAACCACAATCAGCTCCAGGTCTTCCTCTTGCTGACTGTATAAAGCTTCTCCATCTTTGGCTGCAGAGAATATAATCAATCTGATTTTGGTATTGCCCATCTGGTGATGTCCATGTGTATAGTCGCCTCTTGTGCTTTTGGAAAAAGAGTGTGATGTCCAGCTTGTTCTCTTGACAAAACACAATTAGCCTTTGCATTGCTTCCTTTTGTTGTTGTTCCTTTTATCTCTTGACTCCCTACTTTAGCATTTCAGTCCCCTATAATGACAAGAACATCTTTCTTTGGTGTCAGTTCTAGAAGGTCTTTTAAGTCTTCATAGAATTGATCAATTTCAGCTTCTTCAGCATCGGTGGTTGGTGCATAAACTTGGATTACTGTGATGTTGAAACATCTGCCTTGGAGTCGTATTGAAATCATTCTATCATTTTTGAGATTGTATGCAACGGGTTACAGCTTTTCCCACTCTTTTGTTGACTATGAGGGCTACTCCATTTCTTCTACGGGATTCTTGCCCACGATAGTAGATATGATAATCGTCTGAATTGAATTTGCCCATTCCACCCAGGATGTCAATGTTTATTCTTGCCATCTCCTGTTTGACCACATCCAACTCACCAAGGTTCATAGATTTTACATTCCAGGTTTCTATGCAGTATTTTTCTTTGCAGCATCGGACTTTTCTTTCACTTCCAGGCGCGAGTGACCCTGTTTGTCTTGGGTGTCCCTGCATAGCATAGCCCATAGCTTCTCTGAATTACTCAAGCCTCTTTGCCACGACAAGGCAGCAATCCATGAAGGATTGTGATGGGATGGTTAGTAGTCTGGAATAGGATGCATTACATTTATTTATTTGCTTGATTTAATCCACCCCAATTTTGATCTATTAATAACAATAAAAGTAGTCATAACAATAAAATAGCCATGCATTGCCAACCAAGAAAACAGAAGAGGTTAATACTGTACACAGAATGTTACAGGTGACTAAACCCCTACCTAATGGTTGTTGTGGGTTTTTCGGGCTTCTTGGCCGTGTTCTGAAAGTGGTTCTTCCTAATGTTTCGCCAGTCTCTGGCCGGCATCTTCAGAGGACAGCAAACTGTGCTCTCAGTTTGCTGTCCTCTGAAGATGCCGGCCACAGAGACTGGCGAAACGTTAGGAAGAACCACTTTCAGAACACAGCCAAGAAGCCCGAAAAACCCACAACAACCATTAGATCCCGGCCGTGAAAGCCTTCGCGAATACAAACCCCTACCTAGTTCTGCTCTTGCTGATTTTCTGATTACTCAGGTCTGGCGCACCTGGAATGAAAGTTTATTCTATGGGGATGTGGCCACCATCAAGAATACCTGATTTCTCATTGACAGCCTTCTCATTTCCCTTGATGTGGCTGCCCTCATTAGCAGGGCCTAGAAACAAGTGAACTGGCTAGTTGTTTTTTTAGAGGAGACGTTCCAACCAGTATTCAGGTCCCAAACCATTCAGTGTCGTGTCAGTCAAAACCAACAAGTTGATTTGGATACAGAAACAAATTACATTATTTGATCAGTTCATATACAAAGGAAACAAAAATCTTTTCAACATTTCTTCCTTTTTTTCTTGGATTTTCTTGGATTAACATCCCAAGTATACTTGCTAAAGCATTCATTGCTAGATGCTTCCAGAATTGTTATGGTTTCCGACCATTGATCAGAATGTTTGTTTGTGTTGGAAAGTACACAATCAAACTCTGGGTCACTTTCAGAATAAGAAAAATAAAAGAGAATAGAAGAGAAAACCTGGGAAGACAAGGATTTTGAGCAAGGTGATTTCTGCTGTTGTACCTGCAGAATCCCACTGTGTCCTTTGGTGACCCTGCCTCATCCTTTTCTACTTCCACCTTTTAAGTTGAACAGTTTTTGATTGGTCTTCAGGCTGCTGCCGCCTGGTTTTTGGATCTGTCAAGATCGCTTCCTGGTTTTACTTTTAATTGATACCATAGAGTTAAAGATATATTTATTTATATAATATTGTACTTCTAAGTCTAGATATCAACCAATATTTATCAACAATATGTTGATAAATAAATAAATTCCTAGGGTTTTGTTAGTAGGGTTGCAACACTGCTGTACGTAGACTTGCAAACATTTAAGTAATGTATACACTAAAAAAATTATGAATTTTAAAGCATATAATAAACACAAGAGTTCTGGATGGATATACTACTAATTTATCTTGCAAGGCAGAAGTATCTTCATACCCATATTTATTGAATCTGCAGAGATTATCAAAGCTCTGCATGTTTTAAATAGATTAAACAATTTTTGTTGTCTAGCAAATATTTTTGCCTTAAAACAATCCTAATATTTATTTCCAGAGGGAAAAAAAGGGTTTGCTGAAGTTACTTTCAGGGGCATCTACCAAACGCAAACCTCGAACATCACCACCATCATCCCCAACTCTGGAAGTTGAGCAGACAGCTGCAGAACTGGCCCTACAAGGTGCTGTAGGGCCAGAGGTTCCATCAACTTCCAGTCATGGAAGAGCTGAGTCCTGCTCCATGGACAGTGAAACGCTGCTACCACTACAGGAGAATACTCACCGCAAAGCAAGCTCTTTGGATTCCAGCATTCCTATAGCCCCCCCTCCACGGCAGCCCTGCTCTTCATTGACCCCAATCGTAAATGAATCTAGGCCTGTAGTCTGTGAACGGTAAGCCATTTCCCTGTACTGTACCTAAAAATGAAGTATTCATTTTGTATATCATCTAGAAATTAAAAATTATGAAAGTCAATTTTTCATATTTTTCAGATGCCAAATTTGATGTTGTATAGTGAGTTACATTTCAAAATTGTATCTTTTAACAGTTTGACTGTGGTGACATTCCCAAAGCAATTATCAATGGATAATATCCAGTATGGGTTTTCCATTTTGTGATACTTGCCGTGGTAGATTACTATGCACTAATATATGATGCAGAATAGGCAATGCAGAAAGTAGAGACAAACAATAATCCTAGATAGTGGGCCACTATTAGAAATCATGTATTTTATTTCATGCAGTCAAAAAAACTTTTTACATTGTCCTTAAGTATTTCTAGGAGAAACAACTTTCCAATAATGATATATCAGAACTGGTATATAAAAACTAGACATACAGACATTCAAAATATTTATAACTTTTAAATGAGTGTATATGATTTTAATAGAAGTGGCCGTAAGAATGAAAAAAAATTATTATCCACTAAACATTTTTGATAATTGAAAAGAGGCCAGGCAGACATATGAGCTCTCCGGCTTGTTTCCGTTTCCTCACAAAGTAGCATTTTCCTCTGATGACAATTCTGGCATGCCATAGCTTCTCAGTTGGCAAGAATTGGATTTTCTTCTGCTTAGAGAATGTTTCTTGTATACATATCTAATGCAAGCTGTTCTGTACTTGAATGGCACATAAAACCTGGTAATATTCATCTTCCTATGATGCGTTAGTACTTGAAAAACATTGCTATAAAATATTCAGTAGGAATACAGTTTGACATAATGGACTGAATCCAGATACAGTGGTGCCTCGCTTAACGGGCGCTCCATTTAGCGACGAAACTGCATAGCGATTAAGTTTTTGCGATCAGGATCTGTCCTTCCAGTGAACACCCAAAGTTGATTTCCTTCTAAATGGGTACGTTTGTTCTCTTTGCAGTCCAGGGGACTCTCAAGAGTCTCCTCCAACACCACAATTCAAAAGCATCAATTCTTCGGTGTTCACCCTTCTTTATGGTCCAGCTCTCACTTCCATACATCGCTGCTGGAAAAACCATAGCTTTGACTATGCGGACCTTTGTTGGCAAGGTGATGTCCCTGCTTTTTAAGATGCTGTCTAGGTTTGTCATCGCTTTCCTCCCAAGAAGCAGGCGTCTTTTGATTTTGTGGCTGCTGTCACCATCTGCAGTGATCATGGAGCCCAAGAAAGTAAAATCTGTCACTGCCTCCGTATCTTCCCCTTCTATTTCCCAGGAGGGGACGGGACCAGTGGCCATGATCTTAGTTTTTGTTTGTTTGTTTATTTTTATGTTGAGCTTCAAACCAATTTTTGCACTCTTCTCTTTCACCCTCATTAAGAGGCTTTTTAATTCCTCCTCACTTTCTGCCATCAGAGTGGTATCATCTGTATATCGGAGGTTGTTGATATTTCTTTTGGCAATCTTAATTCTGGCTTGGGATTCATCCAGTCCTGCCTTTCACATGATGTATTCTGCATATAAATTAAACCACTTCATTAGCTCTGGAGCTACTTGTCCTCCATTCTTCCTCAGTACTATGTTGGACGCCTTCTGACCTGAGGGGCTCATCTTCCAGTGTCTCCAGTATATTGACAAGTATACTGGAGTGCTTGCCAATTCCTGTTCCAAATGGATCGCGTTTAGTCAGAACTCTCCACTATGACCTGTCCATCTTGGGTGTCCTTGCATGGCATAGCCCATAGCTTCTCTGAATTACTCAAGCCCCTTTGCCATGACAAGGCAGCAATCTGTGAAGGGTAAAGAGCTGAGTTACACCAGTGCAAAATGCTCTCAGCTCAAAATCACAGCCACTATACTGACATAACAATTAGGGTCAGAATAGTCCAATATTTCCAACATATCAAGGCTGTAAGGAGGGATGGATTCAGAACATCCTCAACTGACTTAATGTCAATACAGCCAATCCTCATACATCTTGGCTAGGAAGGGTTGTGCCCGAAATCTGGAGACAACCTGGTCATCATACAAAGTCCCTTCTCTTCTTATTCAGGGTTTCAAAGAAATAGGTGAAGACAGTGAGAATATAATGAAGGTTTACATACAAAGCTAGGGTACCATCAGCAGTCATCAAGGGAAACACTTTACTACCCCATCAATTTCAAGAGCAGCAACATCTGGACAGAAGCATGGTGAGACAGCATGTTAACAGTATTAAGTGGTTTGTTGGATAGACACTTCCCTATAGTTAGAAAAATGATTTGAGTGAAGGAAGTGGTTTCTTGTACCTTCTTTGGCATTCCATATGCTGGTTTAAAAATATGCTGGTACTGTATTGTGTTTGTGTGAGAGAGGGAGGGAGAGAGAACAAATCTTTCTCAAAAGTTATTGTGAGAATTAGAATTTCATTATTGAGAGGAGTGTTTACAGTGCAGAAAGACTGTAATATAGCTGTCACTATATATTGTCACAACTGCTCCCTCCTCACATTCTTCCTTCTTTTTGAATTTAGATGTGTAAATTTTCAGATAATCACAAAGCTTTATCTTTCATGGGAAGAATACAGCTGGGGGGCAGACATAAAGGCATACTTAAGTTAGAAGCAGATGTGCCATCTACATAGAGAATGAGAGCTATCACCTTTGTCCCTCCCTCACCCTTTCTTGGTGATGTAGCAAGGTGAACAGGGTCAAAGGGTGTGTGTAAAGAAGATAAGATTTCAAGTATATAACATGAAAAAACTACAGTGGGGTCTCGACTTACGAATGGCTCGACATACGAACGTTTCAACTTACGAACCGCTCTCATAGGAATATATGGACTCGATTTACGAACTTAGATTCAAGTTACGAACTCTTTTTTTACCTTTTTTTAAAGCTAAGTCATCTTAGGTTAAAAGGAAAAAAGAAAAAAATATCCCCCTCTAGTGGCAGAAGGCGGAATAGCAGCTTCCCATTAGTTTCTATGGACGAAAAGAACAGATACGGATTAAATGGTTTTCAATGCATTCCTATGGGAAATGCAGATTCGACTTAAGAACTTTTCGACCTGAGAAATGCCTTCCAATACGGATTACGTTCGTAAGTCGAGACCCCACTGTACCTGAAAACTCATGACAAAAGATTTTTAGTATGTAAGTTACCAAATATTTCTCTTTTGGGGGGCAGGGGGGAGTTAAACCAGATCCAGCATCAGAAATAATTAATTGAAATTAATTGAAAGTTGCCTATTTCCCCACCCCACCTTTCATTCTCCAAAGCTCCCTAGTGCTCCCTTTTGCCCATGGAAAGCCTTTGGGAGCCTTGAAATGGCACAAGAGGCAAGCCTTTAATAGTAAAAAAATTGCCCGCAAATAACTGCCACCAGAATTGGGGCTACAGTCCTAAAATCACTTACTGAAGAGCAAGGATCATTAAACTTAGTGGACCTATCTACAGTGTAATCCTGTGCAATCTTACTTAAAAGTAGATTGCAGTGTATTCAATGGACATGCATATGATTTCAGCCTTAGAAGCAACGAAAACTGCTTTATATCAAGCTTTACTGCCTATATGGCACTCTAGCTGGCAGTACCTATCCATGATTACAAGGATTAACACTAACTAGTTCCTGATCCATTTAACTGTAGATCTTCTGCATGCAAAGAATGCCTTTTGTCCCACCTTACGCTCCAGTATGTATTTCTGAATAATTATCCACAGGTGCACTATAATTTTTTTCACAATTCTTTTTTGTGTATTCATTGGTTCATATAACACCTCACTTATTAATATATAATTTTATTTATGTATAATATGTTGTAGTATTATGGTGATGTTAGATTTCACACCTAATAGAAAAAATTTTTTGCTGTGGAAGCCAAATTTTGTTTACAAAATTTGTATTAGAGCTAATAAATCCAGAGAGGTGAAAATAGGATTAGCTGTTTCTACATTCAGGAGAAATCCATTGTTGATGTAATATATGTATATATAAAATGCTTCTCACAACTTTTATATACAATAGACATACTCTGCTTATCAACTTAACATATATATATTTCATCTTCAAAAAAAAAAACCACCCAAAAAAGCACCTATAGTGGCACCCACAATTATATTTCAAAGAAACAAGACAAATATTTATGAGAAAATAGATTTAAGATAGAAATGGTAGAAAAGTTACAATCTGCTATACCTTTTCAAGTTATTATTAGGTAGTATTTGGTATGCTTTTGATGCCCTGACTGAGATTTAACCTAAGTAAAATTGCAATATAATTATTTCACTGAATATGAAACTGAAAGCATATATTTAAATCTTAATGTTGCCATTTGTAGTTTTCTGTAGCTCTCCGTTTTCTGTCCTGTTCTCTATGAACAAATTTGCCAAACTGTTCAAACAATACAAAAGCCTGTGAAATGTATTTATTATAAAGTGAAAGCAGGATAAGTATCTATCATAACCTGCATTTTCCCCCACAATTAGCTGCCTGAAGAACTATTTCTCCTAGCCTTACATACTTTTTGACTTTCATTGGTACTTATTGATGCAAATGTGCATAGTCTAGTTGTTTTTAAATTTAGGGACACATTTTCTGTAAAATGGTAGTGTGTTTGAATTGGAGATCTTCGAGCCATTTGTTCATATTTAATTATATATGTTTTCATGTGTCTTATCTGCCACAAGCACTTGTCTATCATAAGCCTGTGCACTCACCAGTGAAAGGTAGTGTACCTTGAGTATGAACACATGGGATTCACGTAACATAATTTATTGCAGCTGAAGAGCTTTTGCTAGTGTTACAACTTCTGTTTAGAGTGTGTTGAAGTCCATGCTTTTCTGATGTTCGATTATCACTGAGACATCTGAAGGAATGAGTTATTCCATACTGTTCCTCCTATTTCAATGTTTCCTCAAAAGGTACACTCATGTCTGGAGTGCAGTAGGTGATGGGATATAGGGCATATGCCTTGTCTGTCACTCTGGTAGGTTGAATCATTGTGGCTTAATGTTGCAGTGAGGTGAATAATAGCTTCTTTCTTTAGAGAATGATACTGTTCAAATGTAGAAAACATCAAGGAAATAAACAATGTTATACTATTTTCTCCCATTTCTTGCCTTGCAGTATCTTTCTGTTGTAAAGGGGATGAAGAAGTTGACATATCTGAACTGATAGTTACCTAGATACAGGAAAATTCTTAAAGTTGTTGATTTCTCTAAATTTGAAGTTATATATTGGCAATAAGAAAGAAACATACTAGTGATATGAAATAGTTAATTGATTAATTCCTGTACCCTGGCTTATTTTTGCCTGCTACAGAAATAGCTAGAATAAGTATATTTATTAGGTCACATAGCACGTGCTATAAATTCCTGTAGCATTCTTTGGCCATGTGGGCTACTCCTATGTTATAAAAATTAAATTCATTTCACCAGTACCAAATCTTAAATTTTATCATTTATTAACTTCACTGTTGGATAACATTATATTCACAACTGTTTACATTTTTTAAAATTACCTTTAAAACCTGATTTTTATTTCTTCATTTAAAGACTCTGTGACAGTAGCCTGTGTATATTTCATTTTATATTATTTTGTTAATACATTTTCTGCACAGAAAAGATTTCTTCATAGACTGCAAACAGTTAAAGTCAAACTTCCTGTTGCAAATTGTTATCTGGCAAAATTTTAAACAAACAATGGGAATCTCTGTAATGGTGAACTAAAAGAAAAAATGTTTTATTCTGCAGATACAGAGTTGTGGTGTCGTATCCACCTCAGAGTGAAGCTGAGCTTGAACTTAAAGAAGGAGACGTTGTTTTCGTACATAAAAAGCGTGAAGATGGCTGGTTCAAAGGCACATTGCAAAGAAATGGAAAAACTGGTCTTTTCCCTGGCAGCTTTGTAGAGAATATCTGAGAGGACCCTTTTCAAATGTTTCAGATCACACAGCACTAAAAAAAAGAGCACAAATATTTACAAGAGAGCAGCCATGAAAGACTTTTTAAATAACTGTAATATAAATAAATTTATATTTATGTTTTCCATTATCCCACAGCACAATTCTTCTCTGCCAGCAAAGAAGGATGATGAAATGTTTTTTGGATTTTTTTATGATTTTGAATTTTAAAGTGTAATGTGTGCCTTGTAATGTCTGATTTCTTTTACAGAGGAACTTTTTCCCCAAAGTATATCATACAAAAGAGCAATTGTTTACAAGGCTGTAACTAATTTATTCTTTGTCTCCTAAACTTGAATTCTGTTTAATAGGTAAAGTTTGGTGATTGATTAACAAGTTGTTAATTTATAAAATAAGATAAGGAGAAGCTGGATTCTCTCCTTATACAAAGGTTTAGTATTTGACAGATGGCTTTTCCCCACTGTATGTGACAGTGAAGTGAGTTTGTTTTTTAGGTTAATGTTGGCTGTAATGATGGTGATGTGATGTCAAATTGAACCATGCGAACTGAGATAAAATGGCAGTGTGGATTTTTTTCTTGTTTGGGGTGACAACCTGTCTGTCAATAGGAAGTTGTACATTTCTGAAAGGCAAAGATATACCTGTGCAACAGAATTAAATCTTAACATTCTTAACATCAGAATGAAAAAAAGAATACTAGAAAACTGGGGAAATTGACTTCTTGGTTCTGTTTGTTCTAGTGTTTTGGATATCTGTCAAGATTTATCTTTGCAGATTTGGCTAGTTCTCTGGGCACATGGCACCCACAGAATGTAAATGAGATTTTAAAATGTTAATCACAAATCACTCAGAGAAATGGGAAATTGTGTTAGTTGATTAGCTGGAAATGTTAGTAGGATTTTAAATTTAAATTGAAGTTGCACTTATGTCTAAATATGCCCAGAAATGTTGTTTGCTTCTTTACCTTTTCAAAGTGATTTGCATGGCTGAGAGACAATTTTACAGTGTTTGAGCAATACTAGTGATAAGTTAAACACTTGTGTTTTTAAAGTAAAGGCTGTAAGGACACTGTGAAAATTTTGCTAATTTTCTAACTATTCCTATTTTCATATGTCTTAACTTCTTCTTGTCTTGCATGAGCGAACAATTCTCACAGGCATACAAACCAATAATGTTTTATAGATTACATTCCATTGTTCTGATATGGGTTAACCGGATGTTAAATCTATTGCTTATCTCATATCATAGAACCCACTGACCGAGACTAGTGAGTGATTGATTCTTAATGATGTAGAGAATACTCTGAATCTTCAGCATCATTTTAGCCATGGATATTTAGAAGCATAAGATATAGAAGTATATTCTGCACCTAATGAAAGAATGATCTTCATTTCCCTCTTGCTATCTTTGCACTCATAAACTTTTTTATATAATTGGGGAAATGCGTATTGTCATATCACTATTTCTGTTTTACTGCACAAGGAAGGAATAATTTGGAGGTATTCTTCAGCAAAGCCAGGAGAGGATGTGCAAAAGTGGCAACACTCAGCAGCTTCTCTCCCGGTGTGCTGATCTTGGCCTTAGGTATGTTGCGTAGAATAAGTCTCCAAAGATAGGATGGTAAACTTGATCTGAGAATCTTCATACATTGGTAATTTCAGCTAAAATATAAAACCCAGGTTGGATTCCCCCCCCCCCATCCTTGGCAGCAGGGCAGCAGTGGACTAGATGTTTCACTCTGCTGGAATTCTGCTGGCATCTACAGCAACTACTCTTCCATCTTCCTCTAATTAAAATGATGGGGAGAACCAAGAGAGAATAATATTAGTTAGGAAGAAGAAGAGAAACTCCTTCAGTGACTTGTACAGTTCTTTGTTCCCTCTCACAATGTTTCCTTATTGAAAGGCATGGGATGAACGGGATCAAATTTACTACCCTCAGGTTTTGAAATGATTTTCTGGCTAGGGAAGAGCATGACTCTCCTGTCCATTTATCTTTGTTTTCAATTTCTCCCAGAAGTATCAAGTAGTTTAGAGACTGGGGTGATGTGAGTTAAGGAAAACAGTAATGTTTCAAGGATGTAGATATCTTCTCACCCCACCCAAACCAAGATTTTAAGAAATATTTAGCACTGGTATCCTATGGTATACATCCAAGATTGTCTTTATAGTTTGACTGTACAAATCTTGCAATGCTCAGCTCAGCTTCCTGCTATGTGATGCTTAGCCAGTGTTATTACCTTTTTTTCTATTAGGGCTTTGGCTTCTTAAATATGTGTAACTGGCAGAAATCCAGTGGGTGTAAGTTACAGTGGTACAGGTAATGCTGTCATAGGGGAAGCTTCTGAAGACAAAGAACTGAGTTATGAAGAAAAGTGAGTGTCACTTCTTCCTTAAAATCAGAAATGATAAGCTTGGAATGGTGTTCCTGTTTCAGAATGGAACTTGCTATGTAATATGATTTAAAAGATATACATGAAATAAAAAAGAAAAAAAATCAGCTAGTCTTTCTAAAAGTTGAATAATGATTTCTGATATAAAACACAACTTTTTTTTCAAATGTAGAGGAAATCATTTTTAGTTCAAGGAGTTTCTTGAAATATCAAGTAGTTTCATGATGGTCAATATAAAGTATCTTGCTGAAACTGAAATCATTCCTAAATTAACACACATATGAGACACTGTACAACTCAATTTGTGTGGAATTTTAAAAGTTTAGTTTACTTGAATGTTCTTATGATGTACAAGCTATTTTAAATGAATTTTTTAGTTAGGAAAATGCTGGCATCAGCTTTCATCAGCATATATTGACACTAATGTGTCAACCTTATTTTCACATATTAGTGTTTTTATATATTAAAGACTACTACTACAGAGAATTTTTTTTCTCTTCATAAGGTAGAATGCTTGTGTGACACAGGTACCTCTATTCATAGGGTTTTATTATGTAAAGTCTATTAAAATATAAATTAATACAATAGTGTTAGATATAATACATTTTCTAATGGCTTTTTAAAAGAAGGAATCACTTTTAGTTTTAAGAGCTTGTTACACAATGGTACCACAATAACAAAAACTGCAGATTACTATGCCTTGTGATGTTTATAAAATTGTGGGAGCCAGGGGGGGTGATGTGTGTACTCCAGTGTAATAACAAAACCCTTTACATTCACTTTGGCTATTCAAGAAAGTATGTGAAAAAATTAATGTTTATATTTGAGGTCCAGTGAATGTTTTGTGTTTTTCTCTGTTAAATTTCCATTCCTAATAAATATTTTCTTAGCAAACGGCTTGAACTCTATGGGTGTGAAAGAACTGTACTTACTTGAGGCAAAAAATAAAATATTGTTTCACTAATCTGTATTTGTTAAAACAAATAAATAGTATTAAGCTATATAAGATGAATTGCACTTGAGAAGGCAAATCATAATGCAGTTCTGAAGTAAACTGAGATGATCAAAATGATAAGCTTCTCCATCTCTGTTTGATTCTATTAATATCTCTAGGAGATGTTGCCTCTGCCAAGCTGCTCATGCTTTATTAAATCAGTCTAGGTCTACTGTCTGCATACCATCAGGTGTTTCCGGGTTGCTTATGCATAAAGTTTATTCCCTGTGTGAGGTTGGTAGAAATAGAAACAGTGGGATAATACCCTTCAGATAACAATAACAGGAATAATAGTAAATATTTTTAAATATTTTGTTACAAAAGTAACTTTAAGTAAACCCAAAGGAATGCTGCAAAACCAGATTTCTAAATAAAATAAGCCAGAGGAAAATACTGTACTTTATCTAGACAGTCATGTCATGAAGGAATAAAATATGTATCTGGTGTAAGTAAAATTCAAAGATTTCAAAAGAGAAATCATGAAAATTAGGTATCTGCGCCCATTAGGTAGAAAGTAACCGATGGAGAAGATGATTGTGATAGTAATAAGACTAAAAGAAGCTGCCATCTATCCCAATACATGACCTTTAAACATGGCTTTTGTATTTAACTAGTAAAATAAAATCTATAAACAAGAGGTGATTCTTTTTTTCTGAATTAGCTGTGCTTCTTCAACTCTGCATAACTTAAAGCAACAAATTCTGAGCTGCAGTAAATCAGATTCATTTAACAAAATACATAAAATTTCCACAAAAAAAGAGATTTTTTTCTTATTTTTGCATCTCCTCACTGGGAAGAAGTGGCCGGCAAATCACACAAAATGAATAAATTATTTTTAACATGTGTGTCTGTTCAATATTTGGCATATTTATCATATCTGAATGTTGGTCTACAGAGACCATTGAAGTTACCATACAGTATGATGAAGCAAAATTTAGAACATTAAGAGAAAATAACCAGACTCCACATAACATGTTTTTTCACAGCAAAATAATGGAGAAAGTAGCATTGGTTCCAGTCAGATCAGCACCTGCATCAAGATGGTGTTCAGTGCATGAAATAAAGTAACTGCTATAAAATAGCCAAGGGTGAGTTAACATAATATGGTTTTTGTGTGATAATTGCAGTTATTGGTTATCTTAATGTATGAAGTGCTGTCAAAGTGCATGACTAGACATCAGAGATTGTCTCTTAATCACACAATTGGCAATTAGCAATTACATTGAAGGTGAAAGCAGTTCATCATTAAGTGTTTCAGCATTTATCAGGCAGTGTGTATTTACACAACATAAACAACACACTTCCAACTCAAGGAACTTATAAATTGACTGAACAACAGAAGAAAGGGTAATAGAATTATTTTAATGTAGTAGTAGAAAGTTTAAGCTGGACTGGATATTGTCTCTTACAAAAAACAAGAACAAAATAAAAATAAACTAGAATGCCCACATGACAGCTGTTACATGCATGGAGGTCAGATGTTTATTACACAGTTTCTTTGCATTGGAACAAAACTAATTAAAGGGCTATGCTTTCTTCTTCTTTTTCTAATTGCTCATTCTTAGAAATCCTCATATTGTTCATGCTCCCCACCTCTTCCCCACCCCCTGAGTATTTGACAAATTGTTCTGGATCCACATCATGTTTACATAATTTGAGCATGAGCTGCATGCTACACCACATTAGTTCAAATGATGAATAAGCCAAACTAATTGGGGCATGCAGTAGACAGGCACAGAATAGGGTTCATTCAGCATGTATGCTATAATCAAGTGCAGATTCTTAGGGGAAATATATAAAGGAGGCAAAAGAGTCATTCTTATCTTGTTCCACCAAATGAAACATAGAATTATGCATCTAAATGGATGTTCATGTTGTAGTGTTTTGTTCCTATGATATTTAAGAGCAAAACACACACCCCAAAACAGAACCCTGCTGGGTAATATTTTTGTAGGAAGAACATCTGGTTCACTGCTGCTTTATAATTCAAACTCTGATTTCTCCCCCACCCCCAGAAAACTAAACACAAGCACAAAATACAAAGCTGAAATAAAACTGCTTCCTTTTAGCATGGTAGTTAATGCTATGAGAATGTGGGCACCTGAAATGATTATTCAAAGAGTGCAATTTTGAATTGCAAGGTAATTGAGAAAGTAAAGACTGACAAAAATAGTTGTGGGTTGTATTGTTAGGCTGCATAAAGAAATACAAATAGTATAGTATAGTTGATCCATAGTTAAACCCACCCCACTCCATTTTCTGAATGAGAAGCTGTGTTTTCATCCATGGTAGGTATTCCATTTCTCTGACTTGAAGGACGCATACTCTGCTCAAACAACAGAATCTCGTGGCACACTGAAGACTTAACACTGAAGACTAATATGGTGTTTTTTGTTGGCATTGTTGTGGACTGTAACCTACTTCTTGTAATCTGAATAGCATCTGAAGAAGTGGACTACAATCTACAAAAGATTTCTGCCAAATAAAACTGGTTATTTAATTCTTAAAATGCCACAAGGCCTTTTGCTGCAGCAGATCGACATGATATTCTGGTATTAAGGAGGAGGCTGAGAGAAGGTGTGAGAGTCATAATTCCATGGTGAAGCCAGTGCAAGTTTATTATATACGGCAAAGTGGAAAGGGCGGTGAGAGTGGTGAAGCATTCATGCATAAAGATTTAGTTACTCTACTGAATATACTGGCAAACCAGTTTGTATAGAACATATTACATCTTTCTTTTACTCCCTGCTGTGAGGCAGTTTAGTATTTTCTTGAGCAAATATTTGCTTTTAAGAATATAACTTCTATGTGGCACATATAATCAGTAGGCTTTTAAGAAGGGGTGACAAGATACACCTCACGCTCTGAACAATCTTCCACACTGCTGCTATATTAATCTCACCACACACACCTTTTCCTTAGCAATACTGAAAGTCTCAGAGCAACTACTTTATAGAGGGAAAAGGAAACTGTGGGAAAATAACTCTCTTCTTTAGGTCCACAGCACAGAATCCCCCAGTGTCTACGGCCAGCAACTACCCGAACTGGGAAATTCTGAGAGGTGTTATTTTAAAAATGGACGAGGGATGACGTCTCGCTGAGAGAAAGGTCTTGTTTGGGGTTTGCAGGAGGTTGGCTTTCCAGCCCAAAACAGAACATAAGAAAAAAAAAACTGGTAGGGTAGGAAGTCCATTGTACATCCTTTAAAAAATATAGAATTACACACGTGAAGGACATGATGAGCATTACTGCAGAAAATTGAGCAGCATTGCTCAAGACTGTTTTTTACTGTTCTCTCCAGACCTTCTCCAGCCCTTTAAAACATATTTCTGAGCAAGCTACTTTACAAATAGCGAATAGAAAACTAGTGGGAGGGAGAATAGCATTCAAGTAGCAGTGCAACCACCCTACCCACCCCTGAGATGTGAATTATAGGTTTTTAGCTACATATTCATGCAATATGAAGAGGTCTGTATTCTTTGTAACCAAGAGGCAGCAGGAAATGTGTTTAGTTCTCTGGAATAAGAACAGTCTGTGTGTAGCTCACTTAAGCAAAAGAGCAGCTGAAGAATCTAAAAGAAACTGCTTTCTTCCAGCTTATTGGCATTTGTTCCTTGTTATCCCGCTTTTCCATCTCTCTTGATGCTTTTTCAACTTCCTTGGCCCTGTACGTAGTTCCACACCTTGTGCCTTTCTGCCTTGTATCTGATGTTCTGCTTCCACACAGCTGTCTTTTATGCAGACCAGCTTCATTGTCATCAGTGGTGACCCAAGACATTTTGTTGCACAAGACAGAGCAGGAAATGGCATGGCTCCTCCTCAGATTCAAGATGCATAAAATGAATAGCTAGCCAAGATAAATTACCCAAGGGAAAATCTGTGAGGCACAGAGCAAAACAAAAACTCACCCCAAAATCCCACATGAGCCTCTCCTTTTATGTGGCATCTGAAATGCAATAATAACTAGTAGTAGTTTGCTGCCTTTTCAGTATTCTTATATTCACCCAGGTATTTCTGCTTGAGATACCTCAGCACCCATTTTCAGGGCCCTTCAGTCTGCAGTAAATATGGTGTTAAGAAGAGGATGCCATAGAATTGCTGCTTTGGCCACAGCAACAGCCCCAGCAGTCCTGAAGCCCAATCCATCTGCCAGCATAGACAAAGCTTTGCCCTTCTCCAAAAGATAAGACATTGGGAAAGAAACTTCCATGTGTAGCTGACTCAGCTGTGGAAATTTTTTTTTTCTTACAGAAGAGGATGCCATAGAATTGCTGCTTTGGCCACAGCAACAGCCCCAGCAGTCCTGAAGCCCAATCCATCTGCCAGCATAGACAAAGCTTTGCCCTTCTCCAAAAGATAAGACATTGGGAAAGAAACTTCCATGTGTAGCTGACTCAGCTGTGGAAATAGCACCATCATCACTTTACTGTGTGTGTGTGTGTGTGGGGGTCCTATGAATGAGTGCAAGAGACTAAGAGCCTGTCTATGCTGACATATAGATATGACATATGGATCACTGAGGGCACCTTTGAATTGAAAAAAAGATCTTGTGTGCAAGTGTTTCCACTTAGAACAATCTATTTTTCCCTTTTAAGAGTTACAGTGGAGTCTCGACTTACAGTCGGCTCCACTTACGAACTTTTTGAGATCTGTACTCCTCCGGCCGCAAATTTTCACTTCGACTTGTGGCCGGAGAATCGACCTACGGACCAAAAGAGGGAGGTGGGGAAAGCACCAAATTCAAATTTAGCGTTTGACCAAAAGAGGGAGGTCAGTCCATAGGCTGCGGATCTGCCTCCGGATGCCTTCCAGGGCTTCTCTGCTGCCATGGGAGGCATCTCGGAGGTCCCCCCCCCCACCGCTGACAGTGCCTCCGAAGATGGAAGGGAGAGGGGAGCAATTGTGAGACTGGAAACACCCTCAGAGGTGGTCAGAAGGGTGTACTGTCCGTCTCTTTAAGAGGAAACAAC